AGGCGGGGAACGTTGGAGTCTGCAGCAAGCAAGCCTCCCTGCTCGCTTCAGTGCCTGGCTGCCGGCCGCCATCTTGGCTGACAGTTAATTTGCATATACTCACTGATTAGCCAATGGGAAGGGTAGCGGTCATACGCTAATTACCATGTTTCTCTTTTATTAGTGTAGATTTATCTACTTTTGAGACATTTGGATTGTTTCTAGTTTGGGATTGTTTCAAATAAAGTTGCTATGGACAATCAGGTGCAAGTATTTGTATGGGCAAATGTTTCCATTTCTGTTGGGTTGATATATAGGAGTAGAAAAGTAGGGTAGTATAGTTGAGTGTGTTTAACTTCTTAGGAAACTGCTAGGCTGTTTTACAAAGTAGTTTTACTATTTTATATCCCCACCAACAGTGTTCAAGAGTTGTAGTTGCTCTATACCTCACTATTTTTTATGATCAGTATTTTTAAGTTTAGACATTTTATGTATAGTGGTATCTTTTTGGGCTTTTAATTGAATTTCTCTATTGACTAAAAATATTGAGTATCTTTTATTTTCTATCTATATAGCTTCTTAGGTAAAGTGTCTGTTCAAAATTTTTCCTTTTTTTTTGTTGTTGTTTTCTTGTTGAGTGTTGCAGTTATTTATATACACTGGATACAACTTTCAGATTTGCAAAGATTTTCTCCCAGTTTGTGACTTTTCATTCTCTAAAAGAGGGTATTTCAAAGAGCCTTTGATGAAGTACAATTTATCATTTTTGTCTTTTATGGATCATGCTTTTGTCTTATTTCTAAGAAGACTCTGGCTAACCCAGAATACAAAAGGTTTCTCCTATATTTTCTAGAAGTTTTACATGTTTAGGTTTTACATTTAGACTTAAAATCTTTTTTGACTTGACTTTTATGTAAGATGCAAAGCATTATTTCTTTACATATGAATATCCATGTCATTCTCTCCTAGAAAGCCTTATATTCCACACCTTGATCCAACACCCTCAAGATCTACCCCTAGACATATTTCCTGCCAATACATTTTAACCAGGATCTGCAATTCATTCACATTGTAACCTATCCTATAAGCTGGCGTAGGGAACCTTTTTTTTTCTGCCAATGGCCATTTGGATATTTATCACATCATTTGTGGGCCATACAAAATTATCACCTTAAAAATTAGCCTGCTACATTTGGTCAAACATTTAATTAACTCACCCCTGCCTTGGCACAGCCAGACCAAATGATTTCTCGGGTCTCATACAGCCTGGGAGCTGGACATTCCCTCCCCGTCCTATTGGAAGGACTGAATTTCCCCACCTAGGGTATGCTGAGACCTGGTCCTAGTTATCAGTTTGAAGTCAATGAGAGGTGGCAGGGGTGGCTATGGAGGAAGACAAGTGTCACCTTACAATGCAAATGCCTTAACGTCTTTGCAGGCTCTCCAGGCAAGCACAGGCTGCTCTCCTCTAGCAAAAGAGAAGCTGCTTCTGCCAATTCAAAAGTTCAAGAAAACCCAAGGGTTCAAGATCAGGCTCACCAACACCAATGTCCCCATCCCGTGATTCCGGGTGGCAGTCTTAACCTGGCAGCATGCGGCCTTGGCTGGAGGGGATGATTGAGGCTGTGCATCGTTTCCTTCGCAGCCTTGGCACTTTACTACTAACTGTGGGCCAGTTGTCAGTGCAGATCGTCTGCACCTGCAGGAGATGAGACAGACTTTCCGTAAAGCAGTGGTTCTCAACCTTGGCTGCACATTAGAATCCCCTGGGAATCTTTTTAAAATCCTGATTTCTGGGCCCCATCCACCAGAAATTCTGTTTCTTTGTTATGGGGTGGGGCCACAACATTAGTAACAAAGAAACAGAATTTCCGGAGGATGAGGCCCAGAAATCAGGATTTTAAAAAGATTCCAGGTGATTCTAATGTGCAGCCAAGGTTGAGAACCACTGCCGTAAAGGGTGCCATTGACGCACTCTGGCATTGACGGCAGGCCTTGAGGTAAGCGGCCAACATGAACCTATGTCATTTTCCTTGTTCAGGGTTTCTAAAGCAGTCAGCAATAGCTCACAAACATCTCCATCTTTATCATGTCCACCAGTCCTATTCCACTGTAATGCCACAGCTACTGTATAGCCTAACATGTTGCCTTCCACCCGCACTTCACCCAAGTCCACTATGGTAACTGTGATGCTTCGTGCCAGGCATTATCAGTGTCCCACTTACCAACACCTGTGGGGTCTTTATTGTCATCTGTCCAGTGAAGGATCCGGTCACAGAACCCCATCCTGAAGTTAAGTGTGTTCCTGGTACCCCTCTTAGCCTGGTTTAACCCCACCGCCCCAACCAAACGCAAAGCCTAAGACAAATGTTCATACAGGTAATTTATTTGGAAAGTGATCTTAGAGAACCTGTTTGTACACATATTCCCAAGAAAAAGCCCCAAGTCTGAAAGGAGGGCAGGGAAAGACCAAAGAAAGAGGCAGGCCACTGGAGTCCGGCAATTAGCAGAGTTTATTCAGGGAAACATACATAACAGGCATGTCTTGGTGTGGGCGGCTGCAAAAGGAAGTGGATATCCTCCAGGCACCAAAGAATTATACAGAAAAGGGCGAGATGGAGGGGGTACGGGTATGTCATCGGTCCCAGGTGCGGGAAAAATGCCGTACATACTTGCCAGGTCAGGACAATGGCCTGTCCAGGAACCAGCACAACATGGGACACAGCAGAGGCTCTGGTTTACGTCAGAAGGAAAGTACCGATTATGATCAGACAGTCTCTGAGAGGGCTTGCGGGAAGCACTCTGTTCTGGCCCAGGTCCATCTTGTGGGTCACATCATGGAACAGCCTCCCCTCCACAGAACCAAGGGAAGGAATCAGGGAGTGGAAAGGGAGGAAAGAGAAAGCTAAAATAAGGATACACCAAATAGTGGGTGACTGGGGAAGCTTATGAAAGGCTTCTCAGAATTGCCTTCCCAGCAGACAGACAGACGAGGGAATGTTTATCCATTGGCTTCCCCCTGGGGGTCACTCAAGGGTGGTCCCAACGTCATTAACTCCCCCATATCTTTTACACATGTATGATGCAAAGGGTTCCAGTGCGTATCCCAAGCCAGTGTCAAAGGATCCCTGGAGAGTCATGACATGGTCCCAATACAGAAGCCTGCTTGGAAGTGTTTCACAGCAGTACTGAGGAGGAGGTAGGGCTAAGAGATTTGAAGTGGACACAAGGGGTGTCAATACAGTTACATGCAAGGCATAGTTAACAAAACAACTTAAAAATCAGGAGATACTGCTAGAAAATGATTATATAATTTTGAAATAGCTTTTTATTAAAAACGTAAATCAACATTACAAAGTTTCAAAAAACAAAAAATTGATCATTTTAACTTACTATTTTGAAACAGTGGCCCTATATATTTGTTCAAAAACCTCAATAACAACAATGTGCAAGAGAAACATTGATCAGCTGCCTCCTGTGTGCACCCCAACCAGGGATCCAAATGCAGCCTGGGCATGTGCCCTGACTGGGAATGGAACTGGTGACGTTTCGGTCCACAGGATGACGCTCAACCAACTGAGCCACACCAGCCAAGGCCAGCTTTAATTTTTAGATACATAGTTTGAAAAAGTTAAATTATGATAGACTAAAGATATTTACTATTCTTTTGACTAATAGGAAAATAGCCTCATTTGTTAGGAGAGATAAAAAAGTATAGATAAAATAGTAAATCATAAAATTTGATAAAAGTAATATACCAGGTAAGGTAATTTCACTTATTCAAATCAAGAAAACATCCAAAAAGGCCTTTTATATACTAACAGAAGTAAACAATTTGAGAGACAATAAACTATATTATATTTAAATAAACACCAAAAAAAGATACATTTGGATGATGGTTTTAATTTCCCCAATAATCTTCATGAAGGTTTTGTTTTTGATGGCACTGGTGCTTTTCCTTTATGCTTAGCAGCCTTTTCCATTTTTATCTGTAAATGTAAAATATTTGTTGATAGAATAATTTTTAAAACATTCTAAAGAAAGAAAAGGTTGCACATACTTCACTTGGATTCATGTTTTATTTGCCACGGCCACTTCACACAGTTACATAGCAGTTATTAATGAATACCAATGCCAAAATCTGAGAGTTGAAGGGACCTAATTGCATTTTAAAAATATGGTCTGAATTCAAATTTACAGAAGCATTTGCATAAAAAGAATGTATAATGAGTACTTCTTTGGAGAAAATGAATAAATATCATTTTAAAGGCCATTCAATATTATTTTCTAAAAGCTGAAATACCTAACCTTCCATCAGCCTAAACACATTCACTTACAGGGTTATAGAACACACCTAAGCCAGCCGGATTATTTCTGGAATGCGGACTGCTTTAAGGGTAGTTTCCTATCATTCTCGTTTCTACATTTGCACAGTTCCCTTCCTAAAAGTTGTCCTTCTCCACGGAAACTGCAGCAAAGAAGCTTGCATACCCTAAGCAGCAGCCTTCCGACCTTTTAGAAACATATAACCCTTTCCACAGGGGAAACAACAACAGAGAAAACAAAACCCACCTGCCTCTTACTGCCACTCACACACCGATTCCCAGAGGCAGCACCACTGCCTCACTCTGGGCAAGAGAAGGCTGAGAAAATTTGGGGCATGGCAGCTGCAGGCAGGGCCTCCTACCCTCTAAGGCAGTGGTCGGCAAACTGCGGCCCCTTGAGTGTGGCTCTTCCACAAAATACCACGTGCGGGTGCGCACGGACAGTGCGATTGAAACTTCGTGGCCACACTCAAGGGGCCAAAGAGCCGCATGTGGCTCGCGAGCCGCAGTTTGCCAACCACTGCTCTAAGGCAGCGGTTCTCAACCTGTGGGTCGCGACCCCTTTGGCGGTCGAATGACCCTTTCACAGGGGTCGCCTAAGACCATCCTGCATATCAGATATTTACATTACGATTCATAACAGTAGCAACACTACAGTTATGAAGTAGCAACGAAAATAATTTTATGGTTGGGTCACAACATGAGGAACTGTGTTTTAAGGGCCAGAAGGTTGAGAACCACTGCTAAGGTGACAGGAAATAATATCAGGAAACCAGGCTTCCCAATCTCATCAAATTATAAGTGATAACTTCCTAATAATAAAATTGAATGAATCTCATCTCTGTCTCCTCCCCATTTTTCCTGCTCGCTCCTGTTTAAGTTGGCTGGGCACCTCATTCAGAGACCATATACTCATATCACTCTTGCACACTGTCCGTCAGCAGGTCATCTGAAGGCCCCAAAGGAACACCCTATTCTAAGGCAAAGATGATAGGCTTTGGAGTCAGAGGGAAGAGTACTCAAACCCCACCTCTGTCGTTTAACTATTTGAGGCAAGTTATTTAACCAATAGTTTTCTCATTTGTGGAAAAAAAGGTCATAGTAATAGGTACATCTCAGGGTTGTTCTAAAGGTGTAAGTAAGATCGTATGTATACAGATCAACATACTTAAGAAGCACTCAACCAATACTAGTCTCCTTTCCTCTCTCATTTAGGCCAAGTGTTAGATTAACAGCAACATTAAAAATTAGGAAAGATGCTAAAAAAAAACAAAAGTTAAGGAAGTGTTTGCTCATTGAAATACAGACACACCTCGTTTTATTGTGCTTATCTTTATTGCACTTCACAGATGTTGCTTTTTTTTTTTAACAAAATGAAGGCAAGACCTCCACGAGCAAAAGATTACTGCTCACTTTATTGCGATACTCAGTTTATTGTGGAGGGCTGGAAAACCAAGCCCACAATAGCTCCCTCCCAGGTAGGTCTGTACAAGCAGAGCATTACTTTGTAAGTGCTCTGAACCCATCAGATTCCGTTTCCTAATCCCCCCTTTTCCCTCAATGGTGCATGTCTTGGTTTTTTGGAATAACAGAAGAGTACTAACAATGTGTACAGCACATGTCAGCTCAGAAGTTGTTTAAGTCTGAGCTTCTCCGTTTTTATACTCTATTAATCAGACAGGCTGGAGAGTTTATAAGCTGTATCTCATAAATCCATAAATCACACAAGGCAGAGAATTATAAACTACATCTCATAAATCCATAAATTCTAGGTCTAGATATAACAAGCAGTCTGGATGGTTATAATAAGCATCCTGGGTGGGCCAGGTATATCCTCCAAAACATTCACAGGTAAGAACTCCCCTCCATTATCTTCCCACAAGCAAATCCCACTGGCATGTTTTCAAGGCAGCCCATATTACCTGGACTTCTGGAGGAGGGAAGGGAGAAGTTCTGGAACCCTGTCCCTCATAAGCCTTTGAGGAAAAACTAAAATTCAGCCGTTAATGTGTGTATTCCAAGAATAGAGCTTGACTTGATTAAAAATTTATCCCTAATGATGTCGCAAAAATCACCTTTCCTTTTGTCACTCTGAACATGTCATCTTCCTCCTGGGTTCCTACTACCCCCTTTTTCCCTTAAAGCAGAGCTTTCCCTTAGACCTGTCCAGGAAGGTAGCCACTAGCCCCATGTGGCTAGAAATGTGGCTAGTGTGACTGAGGAAGTACAGTTTAATTTATTTAATTTAGACTTACAGAGTCACAGCTACAACACAGATACAGAACATTCCCATCACTGTGGAAACTTCCATTTTCTAGCTCTGCCTTAAATCATAGGAGGACTCTCCCCGCTACTTCAAAATTCTTCAGCAGGAAAACAAGCTTATCTCTGTCCCCTACTCACTTCCTCTTCTCTTGGAAGGTAATTTATATAATAGTCTTCTTTTTCTTCATCTTTTTGTCTAAGAGTTGTGGAGGACAGGACAAAAGGTGACAAGAGTGTCTTTTCTTTCATGGCACTTATTACCTACTTGGAGAAATTAAAAATGCCAACAAGGCAACTATAAAATCATCCTAAAGAAAGCACTTCGGGGAATGTGCCATATGACTGGATAACATCCCCCAAACCTCATTAAGCCAACATCCTTTCACCCATCCATAAACAAAAAAACAAAACTCTCAAATACGAACACCGCATGAAACACATCAAATGTGTAATCAGATGACATATAAGAAAGGAATATCAATGATGTTTATTTTTTTCCATAAATGTTTATTGAAAACATATTATGTACAAGTCGCTGTACTTAGTTCTGATGAATAAAAGACTACACTTAGCCCTAAGGAGTTTACAGTGTGGTGGAGAACTGATGAACACTATCATTACTGAAATATAGGAACACTTTAATACTGTAGTTGTTGAGCCCTAGAAGATGTTAAAATACATGTATGATTAGTGTTCTGTTTCTTAAAGGCTATTGAATAATTTTAACTTCAGTATGGATATACCTAGAAGTCGCTAAGAAGAACTACCACATATTATGAATTCAAGACACATATAATTTATAAATCTGCTGATGGTAGATTGTTATTACTGACAATTTTATTTGTATATTTAGTCAATCTTAATGAGCTCCATAAATTAACCAGTGTATTATCATATTACTCATCAATCCTGTTTCTCTCTGAATTGTTCTAAATAAGCCCCATGGCCTAACACCACCTATAAGTAAAGACTTCATAAATTATTTTTCAGGACAATCTACAATCAATATTTAATTGTTCTATGGTGTCTCTGTTACAAGTAAATGCTTAACGTAAGCAGATTTCTCCACAGACTTACCCTTTCCTGGTATCGTCTTTCAAAGAAAGCCATATCATCCTCCTCAGGTCTCCTTAAGGGAGAAACTTGACTACTTGTACCTACTAATAAGAAAATAAACAATTCTAAGTAATATATTTCCATAATTATAAATTTTCCTGAAATAAAAACAGAAAGAAAACTTTCCTCCTACCTGATGATTTTTTTATTTTTCAAACCAGAAATGGCCTAAATGGAGAATTGCTCCTACTACTTAATTCCTTTTTAGAAAGCAGAGCATCATAACACAAAAGTAACTTTCACTGACAAACATTTTGCAAATATTTAATGGGTTCATATTAAATAGCACAATATAGCTTTTTCATATAAGAGCACTAGTGTATTGCTGAAAGAAACTTTTAATTGCCTCAGAAGGAAAATCTGGTTTTCTTTATAGGTATACCAAGAGCCCAGTTCCATGGAAAAGTTCACCTTCATTTCAGGTGAATGTCTGGTTGGATCCCTTCACATCCAAAATAGAGTATCAATCTGAACACCTGTTCTCATTTTTAAAACACATGAATGTACCCTCAACCAGCAACACAAGAATCATGTAATTCCCGATAATCACCAGAGTATAACCACACTCTGTCAGCCTAAAGGATCAAGGCAATTAGTCCATCAGAGGGCTCTCTTACTCAGACATCAAAGCAATAACTTACCGGAATAAGGTTTTAAAACTTCAAATTATTGTATTATCAGAATCCTCCTAATTCTCAGATTTAGCAATTTTCCCCAATAAAAAATAAAGTTTCTTGCTTTTTCTCACTGCCTGGCTATTATAAAATAAAATGATAATCAAATTGTGGATACTGGGGGCAAAGAGAGCTTACCAATGATTCTATCTGAATTCTTATTTTCTACATCCAAACAAATTTCTCAATTTAATTTCATTACCATCTGTTAGTGTTTCTGGAGAAGTAGATGATGCTTGAAATGCCTTTAGAAATGGATGGTCCATGGCCGTACCTGGAGAGTCTAAAAATTCAGCTGAAGGTGCACCTGATAACAAAGTACATGAAAAATGAAAACTAAACCTCTATTTGTTATGACTCAAAGAAGTTATTTCAAATGTGAAATAAATTAGAACCTATCAGAATCATTAGAAAAATCTAGTCTGGCCCGGCTGGCATGGCTCAGTGGTTGAATACCAACCTATGAACCAGGAGGTCACGGTTCGATTCCCAGGCAGGGCACATGCCCAGGTTGCAGGCTCAATCCCCAGTTTGGGGTGTGCAGGAGGTAGCTGATCAATGATTCTCCCTCATCATTGTTATTTCTATCTCTCTCTCCCTCTCCCTTCCTCTCTGAAATCAATAAAAATTTATATTCTTAAAAAATCCATTCTATAAAAAGGAAATTTTTGTTTTAGATTTTTACCATCCATATAAAGTAAGGGAAGAAGGGTAAAAGTATTTTTATTTCTCAGAGACCTTTTTCACAGAAAAAAATATAGATATGCACAAATGTGACTGAATTCCAGCAAAGAGTGCAAAATGTTAACAAAGTTATAAAAACAATCAAAAGCAAGATTTTGATAAAGAAACTCTAGTTTAAGGGGGAAGAATAAGTGTGTTTTTACTCTATCCCTCACTCAAAAAACAACTACAAACCAGTATTTAAAAAAAAAAGAAACCTTCTTCAATGAAATGAGGAAACATCACAACCCAAAACCACACCCTACAAAGACCAACTGCAAAATAATTGACTTTTGAGGAAGGAAGTGCAGAGAAAATGTATGCATAAGTACTCTATCTTCTTCACAAACCTCACCTCCCCCACACCCCTATCTCCATCCTGCGGTAGAGGGAAAGAAAATACACTTTCAGTCCTATTTGGTTTTACAAGTTAGTCTGTCCTTATAACGAAGCAGTGTGGGGCAGCTGCTCAGTCTCAGATTCCCGGCCCTCCTTCTGCACTCCTCTACCCTGTGGCTGGTGCGAGTGTAGGAAGGGGTGCTCAGGTCCAGCCAGGCCCTTGTGCCTTCCTCTGGTTGCTGCGTGCACTACAGACTTCAACCGGCGAGGCTGACCTAAGTGGCAATTCAGTCTCTCAGCTTGGTAGGGCCTGGTAGCCTCATTCTTACTCTCACTAGGAGTGCAGGCAACCTCGATGCCTGCCACTTCCTCTACTGAATCCCCCAGAGCTCAGGGGACCCACCTCTAGCTCCGTTCTGGGGCCACCCTTGCCCCTTGCTATAACAGAGACCGTGCAGGCCCCGGGCCGCACAGTTCAGTTACGAGCTGGGAATTCTGGGCTCCCTCTGCAACACTGAGGAACCAAATTCCAGCAAGGGGTCATCTCTGTCCAGGACTCTACGTGGCTAACCGAGCAGACATCCCTTTACCCCGCATCCCCTATATCTGAAGTCCAGACAAAAATATTTTATGTTTCCTCTCCTCACTCTCACCTTTCTTCCCCTCACCTTCCCTCAAGGGCCAAAAGGGGCACGTTTTCTTTTTTTATATTATAAAAATGTTTAAATGATAAAATACTAGAAAAAAGATATCAGCCACTACCTCTACTACTTAGTATCGTTCTAAAAGTACCAGACATTTTGGTTAGTCAGAGTAAGAAGACTCCTAAATGTTGGAAGGAGGAGGCAAAAATACCATTACTTGCAAAATTAGCTGAACACTTATTTAAAACTCTAAGATTAAGTAGAATAACAATGACTAGTAACAAAAGCAGCATAAAACATTTGCTTTTGAAATAGACAACAATGAGGCAGACTAAGGTGCCCAGAACAACCTGGGTTGAACCAACCCTACCACTTGCTAGCTGAGTAGCACAGAACAAGATGTCTTACTCCTGTGCTGAGTTTCCTCACCTGTAAAATGGGATTAGTAATAGCACCCAACTCAGAGTTGTGAGGATTAAATGAGGTAACAGATGTAAAGAGGTTGGAACAACCCCTGGTCATCATCAACCTCATTATAATTGATTATTTTTTGCCGGTGGTAACTGTGTATTCTGTAATCATTGCATGCACCTAATAGAATCAGGTATCCATAAATATTGAAAAAGGACTCATTTATGAAATTTAACAAGCTACTTGTAAAACTAGTTACTAGAGAAGCACAAATGTATCAGGGCAATCTTGAAAAAAATAAAGAAACAAATGGGAGGAATTTACCATACCAAATATCAAAACATACTATGAAGAATAACAATTAGCCCTCACTGGTGTGGCTTGGTTGGAGCGTCATCTCATATACCAAAAGGTTGCGGGTTCTGTACATACACATACATGCCTGTGAGCATGCATTATTATAGATGTGATTACACGCCTATACATGCATGTGCATATTCACACATAGACATAAGCCTATGTTTCCAAAATGAGATGGCTATAATGGTAAAAATTGCATACAATAAAATAATAAACTGTATCATATCAAATAAAGGAAATATTATTTATTATTCAGCTTTACAAACAATGTGGTTATGGGTTGGGATTTGGGTACAAATATTGGGGAAAAGAATGATCTTTTCTCTTGTGCTTTCTAAATTTTCTATAATAACCATCTATTGTGTAGTGGCAATTAAACCTTTTTTAAAAAATAAAAATAAGAGAATGTTTTCTGGGGGGAAAAAAAACATGAAGGATATAAAGTGCTAAACAAACATAAGGCTTCACTATTGTCCACACATAAAAACAATATAACAAGCTCACACTTGTGCATCACTTACCAATTCCACTGTCATCTAACCGCATGTAGCCTTCTGCTAGTGAGCTGAAGCCGGTTAATCCTCCCATTGCCGCGTAAGGAGCATCCCGTCCCACTGGTTTTCCTTGAGCCAGTCTCTCTTGCTTAGTTTCCACTACTGTGTCATGGGCATACGCAGGCTGACCACAAGCACAAGTGAAGCAACTATGGAATCCTGAACACTTGGAACCTGAATCAAGGTGTAAAGGGAGTTAAGTTCTTAAATGTAGGGACTGAGCTGCCTGCTCCAAAAATGCTCAGCTTGGCCTAAGCACCTGAATCTGGATTCCTCATGTGCTGTCCTCTAACCCTGGTAACTATTATCTCCAGACCTGGAACTCCCTCCCAGCCACTGCTCTTACTTCTAAAAGATTCTAAAGCAGTCATGGGTACTAGCAGGGGGAAAAATAGGGAAAACCAATGAGGACTAAAAGAAATTGGGCTGAACACTGGAGAGCCAGGAAATGCAGGCCCTTTCCTCAAATACTGAGTTAAAAGCAGGTGTGGTGGGGACAACCAGTGGCCAGGTCCAGGTGAAGAGATAATGTGAAAGCCTCTCTATGGGTCAACTCCCCACGAAAGCCATATTGGAAGGCCGACACATAGACAAAGAAAGGATGCAACAGAATCCTGTTAAACATAAAAAGGAAAGAAGGCCCTGGACGGATGGCTCAGATAGCTGAGTATCGTCCCATACACCAAAAAGGTTGTGGGTCCGACTCCCAATCAGGACACGTACCCAGGTTTCGGGTTCGATCCTCAGTCAGGGTGTGTGCGAGAGGCAATTTTAAAATAAAATAAAATAAAATTTTAGAGTAGCTACCCATCAAAATGTTTTGTTTCATACTGACAATAAAACTGGCACAAAGACACATTAAATATTCAATAAAAACATTCTGTTGGTGTATTTGTAATAATGTCACTCACAGGCATTGCACATAAAGCCAGGCGTGGCACTGTGCTGATCAGCAAAGTGTTTGCACCTGCAGCGAATGGGCTGCGTGCCATTCAAAGGCACATAAAGGTAAGCCCTGCACTGGCAGCCGGTCACTCGGCAAGGCAAGCTAATGGGGCGCTGCTGTGGAACCGTTTCAAAGTCAGTTTTATGCTGTTTGTACCTAAAAAGGGGGGGGGGGATAAAAACACAGTGCAGGTAATGTCAGAAATCACTATTTCTATTCTGTTAAATGCAAATGATTCTTTTTCATTTTATTTTTGTTTCATCATTCTTTTTGGTAAGGTGAAAATAAAATCCCCTACTTGCAGTATTTCTGGAAGCTATATTACTTTGATCAGAGAAACCTTCATTCTTAGATTTTTATTTTTAGTAATCACAGCAATATACAAGAAATATTATAAATATTACTAGAGGCCCGATGCACGAAGATTCGTGCAAGAATGGGCCTTCCTTCCCCTGGCTGCCAGCACCGCCTTCGCTCCGGCCAGAGTGGCCTTTCTGCCTTCCCACGCTATTCAGAGGCCCAGAGTGGCTGGGGTGGCTCGGTGCCTGTGTATGCAAATTAACCCACCATCTTTGTTGGGTTAATTTGCATACTCGCTCCTGATTGGCTGGTGGGCGTCACAAAGGTATGGTCAATTTGCATCTTTCTCTTTTATTAGTGTAGATGTGATTCCCTTAAAGTACATACCACTACAGATTTTTTTAAATGAAAGCACAACCTAAGAGTATGGGAGGCCACCCATACTCTTATAAATAAATTCTTTATAAAAATCCTTTTTATTAAAGTGCATTACTTCAATTTATTTTTATAGGTTAAAATACTAAGTAATTTTCTTAAATAGACTATGCCCTTCCTTCTCATAAGGTGGTATTCAGTAAAATGATATTAAATTTATTATTCTCAATATTAATCTAGGTAACAGAAGTTAAAAGAACAAGATGCCATTTTTCACTTAGCAAAGAGAGCCAAAGCTTTTTTTAAACTACACATAATTTACAATGCTGCCAAGAGTGTTACAAAAGAAACAGTCCACCCTAGCCGGTTTGGCTCAGTAGACAGAGTGTTGGCCTGTGGACCAAAAGGTCCCGGGTTCAATTCTGGTCAAGGGCACATACCTCGGTTGCAGGCTCCTCCCTGGCCTGGGCCCTGGTCAGAGTGCAGTGGAGGAAGCAACCAATCAATGTGTTTCTCTCACATCGATGTTTCTCTCAGTCTTTCCCTCTCTTCCACTCTCTCTAAAAATCAATGGAAAAATATCCTTGGGTGAGGATTAAAAACAAACAAAAAACGAACTAATCCCATTTAATGTTTTAAGAAACTTAAATAGATCCATCCTTTAACCCAGAGAGTTCATTTTTTAAAATATACCCTAAGAATATAATTCCACATATAGAGTGTGTGCATAAATATAGTACTAGCAACAGTACTTACAATAGCAAATATATACGTCTACACCCATACATACATAACCATACACATACACATACACACACACACACCACTAATAACAAAGGCATGATTAAGTAAATTACAAAACAATAGTTATCAAATTTTTTACTAGTGAAACTCTTTCTTCAAATAAAATCTTTTACAGAACTATAATATATAAAATAGATAAAAGCAGAATTGGTTAAAGCAAGGGATAGAGCCAGAATTAGAGTCTGCCCTTCCCCTAACCTACCCTTCCACCTGGTACACCCCTGAGACACCCACACCTCTGGGGAACACATAGTGAACCAGCTCAAACATCCAGCAGGTATTAAAAATCTTGCCTGTGATTACCACATAATGTGAAAACATATTTCTGTAATTCTGTCATGAAAAACTGGTTCAATAGTTATACTCGCACATAATTAATTAAATAAACGATGTAAATGAATTATATGAATATAATAAAATATATTAACAGCAGCTGGCTTTGGGTGGTGAGTCTTCTTTCTACTGTTCTATATAATCCTCTACATTTTCCGTAATAAACATGTTTCACTTTTATTATGGGGGGAGGGGCTTAGGTAGACAGAGATCTGAGTTCTGGTACTTAAGAACTTATCCATCAAAGTTGAGTTGGGTGCCCTACCAGCATGGCTCAGTGGTTGAGCGTCAACCTATGTACCAGGAGGTCATGGTTTGATTTCTGGTCGGGGCACATGCCTGGGTTGTGGGATCCATCCCCCCAGGAGGGGCTGTGTAGGAGGCAGCCAATCAACAATTCTCTCCCATCATTGATGTTTCTCTCTCTCTCTCTCTCTCTCTCTCTCTCTCTCTCTCTCTCTCTGAAATCATTAAAAATATGTATTTTTTTTTAAGTTGAGTTGGGTCCATTTTGAAGGTTAATGTCATGCTGCATAGGTAAGAGACAGGCACTAAATCTGTATAAGACTAAAAATTAAAACTAACACAAATGTATCCATTCTGAAAGATATCAATGTAACTCACCTTTTCCTTTCCTCCACAGCATTTTCAGTGGGAGTTGCTAACTAAATTTCAAATCAATCTATATACAACATTACTCATCCTAGCAACTGCCTAACAACCTCTGGCAAACTGCGAGTCTGTAAATAGCAACTATACAGTGTCTCCTGAAAGAGGCCCAGACGCTATCAGAACAGGGCGGTCCTCCTTCCACGGCTGCTTGGGAACAGAAAGTTCGAGTTGTTAACCTAAAAGCACATCAGGGTTCAGTGACTTGTTTCCATGAAGCAGCTTTGTCCTTTTGAGCTTCACAACTGTGACCTGGGACTGTAGAAAAATGTAAAGGAAAACACGACAAACAGCCAAACGCACACCGCAGGTACAGGCAACACGCCTCCAGGCGCGGGCCCTCAGGTATTTCCTTTGCTCCGTGCGCGTTGCTTGGAAACGGACCAAGCATAATAAAAAGCTGTGAGCTCAGTATTTCTGTTTGTTTAAAGAAAGGTAGGAACAAAACAGTGTTTCTTAAAGTATAAAGTGAGATTAGAAAATTGGAAGAGAACTGCTTCTTTGTGTAGATTGAGAAGCTGGTCGATGTGGGTCAACTCCAGCGGTTCTGCAGTCTGAGGACCCGTCCACAACCACCTTGTCCAGAGGTGGGAGAGGCAGCGGTTCTCCCCAGCCTAAGTGAGAGGCCCCTGACAAAGCCATGGGGGCATCAATACCGTTTTCACCAAAGGCAAGAGAAGAGATACTTAAGGTAATGGACTGTACTGAGTTCTAACAGGATAAAATAGAATTTTTAAATCACATTTAAAAGAAATTTAGATAATTTCTAGTGTATAACACAAAGGCCTATTTAAATGTTTCTCCATTATCACATGTAATGTTACTTATAGAAGGAAGATACGCTCTGCTACAGTTTTATATTTTCTAATCACCAGAGAACTTAGCGATAAAATATCTTACCTGTGTGTACAAAAACACAGTGTCTCTGGGCCCACAAGTTTACAATCCATTCCAGTTGGGGATCGCCAGCTCACGAACAATCTATTCTGTAAGCGCATAGGTAAAACTCTTCTTTTGTATTCTTCATACTCTTCAGGAGTAAAAAGTTTCCCTCCATCATCCTCACCCACAATTCTACAACAACAAAATAGTTCTCTTCAGCTTTGATTATTTATTTTCCAGGTTATAAATACTATACTCTAAAATTAAACTAGCCCTGACCGGTTTTGCCCAGTGGTTAAAGGGTTCACCCTGGAACTGAAGGGTCCAGGGTTCGATTCCAGTCAAGGGTGTGTACCTGGGTTGCAGGCCCCATCCCTGGGATGAGTGTAGGAGGCAACCAATAGATGTGTCTCCCTCACATCGATGTTTCTCTCTGTCTCTGTCTCTCCCCCTCTCTTCCACTCTCTCTAAAAACCAATATAGCCCTAACCGGTTTGGCTCAGTGGATAGAGCGTCGGCCTGCAGACTTAAGGGTCCCAGGTTCGATTCCGGTCAAGGGCATGTACCTTGGTTGCGGGCACATCCCCAGTGGGGAGTGTGCAGGAGGCAGCTGATCGATGTTTCTCTCTCATCAATGTTTCTAACTCTCTATCCCTCTCCCTTCCTCTCTGTAAAAAATCAATAACTCAGGTGAGGATTAACAAAAAAATAATAACTAATTAAACTATACTTGTACAGTCAAAGGAAATGATACGGCACTGGTTTTTTACTTTAGGTTTATGTCAATTGCAGAATTACACACAATAGTAATAAAGCTTTTGCTTCCCATATAAAAAAGGGTTCTAAATAAGAAAGTCAATGAATTCATGACATCTGACTTTCCTTATGGGAGCTTACCGCCAGAGAACTGCCATATATTCATCTCAATTTCTCCTTTGATTCTGAAGCAACTATGCTCATTCTTCTCATTAAAAGCTGGAGCCTAAACAACTAAAAATTCTAACACGCCCCCCCCCCAAAAAAAGGAAAAGTACAAAAAAAAAAATCAGTGAAGAAGACAACATGACTAATGTCCACACCTGAGCCCAAACCCTGGCCAGGAGTTCGGTGTGAGACCAAACACCCTTGGACCTGCATAAGCTCAAAACCAGGTACATCATTGTTCAATTCCAGAAGACCTCAAAACTGTATGGGAGAAACTAAGTCACCGATATTTCTTAATTTCTTAAGAAATTGAGAGTTGGCCTCTCCAGAGGAAAAGCAACAACAATTAAAAGCATTTCCTCAAAATTGAAGAAATTTCCCCTTGACTTTATGCCCCTCTTAAAAGTCATGAAAAGTGTTGTTTGCAGAAGGCTACATAATTTGTTGTACAATCCATACCTTTCCCATACTTTCAAGCCTTTAGCTTGAGGAAGATAAATAAAACCAATTCAGAAGCTATAGAACCATCACAACCTTCTTCCTCAAATAATTTAGATACACAATAGTAAAAAAGACAAAGGGACATTTTATTCTGAGATCATTTTTGAGCCATTTCACTTTATTATAGCTACCAAGAAGTATACCAACAGGTGCTGAAAAGACGCCCTAACCCCGTGGTTGGCAAACTGTGGCTTGAGAGCCACATGCGGCTCTTTGGCCCCTTGAGTGTGGCTCTTCCTAAGCCTTAGGAGTACCCTAATTAAGTTAATAACAATGTACCTACCTATATAGTTTAAGTTTAAAAAATTTGGCTCTCAAAAGAAATTTCAATCGTTGTACTGTTGATATTTGGCTCTGTTGACTAATGAGTTTGCCGACCACTGCCCTAACCAGTTTGGCTCAGTGGATAGAGCGTCGGCCTGCGGACTGAAGGGTCCCAGGTTTGAGTCAGGTCAAGGGCATGTACCTTGGTTGTGGGCACATCCCCAGTAGGGGGTGTGCAGGAGGCAGCTGATTGATGTTTCTAACTCTCTATCCCTCTCCCTTCCTCTCTATAAAAAATCAATAAAATATATTTTTTTAAAAAGAGAAAAGAACTTAAAGATCAATTCAGTTCTTTGAAAAAAAGAGATCATTTATATCTAAGTTCTAACCCAGGGCAGCTCAAGCTTTATTGTATTACACAATCCTCAAGGGACTCCGTCAAATGCACATTCAGATTCATGGTCCAGAGTGGACCTGAGAGTCCGCATTTCCAACAAGCTCCCAGGGGATTCCTACTCGGCTGGCCCACTGTTGCTATACTTTGAATAGCAGGCTCTAACCTTTAAAGGGGGTTGTTCCAGGTAATTTATGTTTCCAAAAAAATAACTTTCCTCCAGGCCCTAACATATTCTGGACCAACCAAGGGACTACAACTGGAGGCCCACAATCTGCATATCTAAACATCGAAATACCTAAGTCATCAGTCAACAACAGGGCCCAGCAACTTGGTCCCGGTGAAAAGCCCTGGAGACTTGGCGGCTAACGGAGCTGGCTCTGCCAGGTAGGGAGGGCTGGGTGGGAGCTGTTCTGGGCATAGGGCTCCGAGCATTACCTGGACCCACCTGAACCCAGAATGAGGCCTGGCCCGTCCATCACGTTCCTCACCCTCATTTTGCTGGCTCAGAATTACCAGGCATTTCTAGGCGTTACCCAACACTGTACCACGAGACAGCCGGAGGGAGTGCAGTCAGATCGGAAACCCGTGCGCCCCAACACCCCTGGGTGATTTGGAGCGGCCACCTTCAAGCAGAGCGGCCCCTCTCGCTGTGATTCCGCCGCTTCCCGTTTATGCACACACATTCCCCCCACCCTCCAACCCCGCATCCTCCCGCCCGTGACATTCCCACTCACCCAGTTTTCCAACTGCCAAAACCCTGCCTGGGGAGCACAGACTTTGTCAGGGCCCCAGGGGCGGCTGCTTTTCCAGTTTGCGGGGAGGACTATCTCCAGAACCACCGAAACTCCCCCAGCAGCCGGTGTCCTCCCGAAACCAGCACCCCGGGACGGGGAGCACGTTAGCAAGTTCACGGCTTACCCGCCTGCTACACTAACATGCAAACTTAACGCCTGTTCATTTTCACCGGCCCCGACTACTCCATGCGTAATTCTTCCATGCCCTTGGGGGGGGGAGGGGGACAACTGGACCTTTGCGTAAATCTAGCGCTCATCGTCCCTCCTGGAAGGGTCGGAGCGGGGACCTCGTAATCAGCCTCGGAAGAGACTTATTAGCACAGAACTGCGTGTCGTTGCGATATTTAATTACAGAACGACGCAACTCGAAATCAATGGAAGCGTCCCCAACAGCCCGCCCGGGAACGGATCCCGCGCC